AAGCGGGAGACCTGCGTTCAATTCCAGGCAGGTCAGGGCGAAACCTTGGGCAAGTTTCCTTACTCCACACAGAGCCTAATAATAATCCCTCCAAAACAAAACAATAATAAATTGGTCATTTTTAATCCACGACTGTTTGTGGGATACTGCTTTGCGCAATTGGCTGCCGCGTTCGCCCACAAATATACAGTCAATTCACTTTACAGTGTGTTCTGTGAAGCGCTTTGAGATGTCGAGAAGACGTGAAAAGCGCTATATCAAATGCAAGGATTATTATTATTATTATTATTATTATGCAGCTCTGAGCCATCAGCTCCCCCAATGTATTAAAATGTAAAGAGCGTGCAGAAATCCTGAGCTCAGGTTTAATCAGCCTGTCACCTCTATGTCACGTTAAAACTGGCTGTGACCTTGCCCACGTATCAGCAAAAAAGACAGAGGAAAACATTCCCACTGACCCCCACTCGGCCCAGAGGGTTGCCGAGGGGTCCGGCTGCTATAAAAATGTTGTCACACGTGTTCCTGAAAGGATTCGAGACATACCTTTTAATCTTCTTTTGACGGACGCTTAAATTAGTTTTCATTTCTTGAGCTTTTGTTCCTCGCTTCTCCACTGGCTGCCGCCTCGTTTGAAGTGAAGAGTTAATTTCCCCGAGTGCTGTGTGAGCGCCGCGGTGCGCGACAGGTAATCCACAGCACTGGGCTGCTCAAACGAGCAATTTCGAAGTCAATTCACATTGTTCGTGTTAAAGTCAGTCTATTACCTGGAAAATAACATTAAACTAGGACGGTCTTCACCACACACTGAAAACAGGATCTATTGTGCGCTATGGGGGTTAATCTTTGATACAATATACAGATGTGTTATATCCCATGGGTTAACTGGAGTCACATAGTGGTTAGCGCACTCGCCTTGCAAGCAAGAGGATCCGGGTTCGGAAACCAGGTGAAGGAGTTGTTAGGCCCTTAACATCCACAGTCGTTCACACTGGTGCTCAGGGTGACTACTCTTGCTCATCTCGCTCATCACCCTGTCATGCACACAGCCCAGAGGAATTTATAGTATCGCAACTCCCACCCTGGCCGAGAACTCCCATCTCAGCAGAAAGCCAAAAATCAAACCCTGGGGGACAAATTCAACACTTTGCTTTTTTTTAAAAAAAACTCTTCGAGAAATATCGCAGAAGCACAAGACTAACAATAACATCCACACATCACATGCCTCAGCATTCAGGTCACTGAAACCCTCAGCCATGCATCCATCACATCTACATAAGTACGTAAGAATTAGGAGCAGGAGTAGGCCATTCGGCCCCTCGAGCCTGCCCCACCATTCAATAAGATCATGGCTGATCTATTCTAACTCCACCTACCCGCCTTATTCCTATATCCCTTAATCCCTTTAAGGGATCTAGGCTCGACTATGCCAACTTCCTGCTTGTCGGTCTTCCCAACTCTTCCCTCCACAAGCTGCAGATCATCCAGAACTCTGCAGCTCATGTCATCTTCCGCACCAGGCCCCGTGACTCCATCACCCCCACCGGGCTCCATTGGCTCCCCATCTCCTGGAGGATACAGTTCAAAATCCTCATCCTCACCTTCAAGGCCCTCCATGGCCTTGCCACATCCTACCTCTGCAAAACTGCTGGCCTCGCATCAACCTGTCCGTTCCCTCCGCTCAGCAGGCTCTGGCCTGCTCCATGACCCCACCCGGCCTGCCCCATCATCGGTGTCGGGACTTCAGCCTTTCTGCCCCACTCTAAGAATCTCCATCCCACATTCCCTTCACCTCGCTTCCCCCCTTGCCTTCTTCAAGGAGCATCTCAAAACCCTCCTCTTCGACCGAGCCTTCGGTGAAGGAAACTATTTTATCTGGGGTATTGTTGGCCAGGACTTCAGGATAAATTCCCTTCTCTTGTTGAGTAGTGCAATGGGATCCCTAAAGTCCACCTGTTTATCTGAAATATAAGTATTTGTGTTGCTTTGCAAGTTTACAGCCATATAAAATAGATTTCTCCTCATCCGTATTTCCATAAGTGATGATGACAGCGGAGACAAAGGGGATGAGAATAAGAAGCAGACTTCACTGTGGTGCAGATGAGGCAGATTAACAGAACCGCTCATTAATAAATTGTCCCAGCCCTTGTTTGAGGTTGTGGTTACAGATGGGATCAAACCGTCAGTACACTTTCCAGTAACACTGAACTCCATAGGGATGAATACATGATGATTGGCTCAGCGCTGGCTGACCAGATGCAATCACCATCACTCAAGCAGGAAGAGACTCCAAATGCACCCCCAAGGGCTTGCTATGCCTGGATTGTTTAATTAACAAGGCATTCATTTGCAGGAATTAGACCGCAGGTGATCTGATCCTTATCAGCGGTGACACGAGTTACCATTTTAGCTTCAGAAAGGTAGGCGAGTCATTCGGGAATCCAAGATCTGCACTTCAAAGCCAGGGAGCAAGCCAGCCACAACCGAGCATCAAACAACCAGATTGAAGTAAAAGATTCATTCGTTTTCAATTGGCATGCCAGCTCGCTGAAGTCTCTGGGTCTGGGGTGTATCGTGGTCCTATGGTCCCTGATTCATGTGAATAATTTGGGTTTAAAAATGAAATACCCTAATGTGCCTGGATGCTAAGAGAAGGGAATTTCTCATAGTGCCCTGGCCATCAAGATAAGTGTATCTGAATGTGAGCGAGTGTGTGTGTGTATGTGTGAAAAAAAAGAGGGAGGCAATGTATGTGTGTGTTGTGCGTGTCTGTGAGTGAGGCAGTGTGTGTATGTGTGTGTGAGAGACAGTGTATGTGTGAGTGTGCATGTGTGTATGACAGACTGTGTATGCCGTGTGTGTGTGAGAGAGAGAGAGAGAGAGAGAGATGGAAAAGCAGAGTATGTGTGAGAGAGATGGAGCGGTACAGTGTGTATGTTTGAGAGACAGGTGTGGGGGAGTTGACAGTAGCAGCTGCGGGTTATCCACTGCACTGGCTTTGTATCAGCGCTGACCTGAAGAAGACAATTACAGTTCACACTGACACCATCCTTCCCGCAAAACAATTCACAAATGAAGGTTACAAAACATTCCAGTAAAGACATCCCGGCATTTACAGCCTCGAGAAAAAAAATCCAGTTAACCTCAAGCCTCTGGAGCTGTGCTGCTGCGATGTCCTGGTATTTGAGCTTTCTGTCAAAGAAGTGTTCTCTTTAAGTGACATATAAAAGCCCGTACAATCCCCAAGACTCTCGAAGGTTACATTTCCCACCCAGCTCCATCAGGGGAGGTTTAAGACATTGGGTTACGTTTAACAAAGCATTGGATACTGATCCATTTCAAACTCTTCGTGCTCAAATACAAGTCCCTTCACACCTAAGCACCTCTCTGATCTGCTCATACCCCACTCCTCTACCCAACCTTTTCACTCAACTGACTCAGGCCTGCTGCATACCCCTAACCCCTACTCACCGTCGCTGGGGGCCGAGCCATTAAACCCCTAACATCTGAAACTCCCTGCCTCAATGCCTCTACCTCTTTAAATCCATAAAACCTTCCCCTACCCCATATCTCTCCGCCCCCCACCCCCCGCTTAGCATCCAACCCTACCACTGCAGCGCTCCAAGAAGCTTTCCAGCCTGAAGGCCGCTGTTTAAATGCAAGTTATTGCTGTTGTTGATCAAATTCTCAGGACATGTTTCAGCAACATGCCAAAGACTTGTCAGCTGGGTTGTTCACTAACAAGACATTTGTGGCAGGAATTAGACTGCAAGTGATCTGAGCAGTGACATCATTTAATAATAATCATAATAATCCTTACATTTGGTATAGGACCTTTCATGGCAGGGGGACAGCTCAAAGCGCTTCACAAAATATAAATGTACAGGACTGAATTTACCAATTAAACTTCAGTTAAACCAAGTTGGTGTTCTCAGCCTTGATAAATGCTGAAAATTTAATGTAACATTTTAGGGAAAGTAATCTCTCTCTGTGTTCCTTCTCCTATTTCTATTTCTCTTTCCCCAACTCTCCGTCTTCTCTCTCTCTATTTGTTTTTACGACTGTTTGTGGGCTGTTTGACTGCTGTGCGCCATTGCCTGTTGCCTTTCGCCTAAAAAATACAGTCACTCCACTTTGTGCTATATTCTGTGAAGTGCTTTGGGACGTCTCAACAACGTTATAAGGCACTACATCAAATGCAAGGATTATCAGTATTATTATTATAAGAGCTGGCAAGATGGTTAATAATAATTATAATCATGCATTTGATATAGCTTCTGTAAAGTCAAAACATCTCAAAGTGCTTAACAAGTAATTACAATGTTGTGACTAACTCTAGGCAAATGTGGCAGTCAATTTGCACACAGCAACGACCCACAAATAGCCATGAAATGTATGATTAATTTTCCTGGAGGATTGGTAGCCAGGACACGGGGAGAAATGTCTTTTTATGTCTTCTATTTCAAATGATGTTAGGGAATCTTTTTGAACGTTATCATTAAATTGTGTGTCAGCCCGGCGTAGTGGTAGTATTCTTGTCTCTGAGTTAGAAGGTTGTGGGTTCAAGCCCCTGTCGAGATTTGGAATCAAATAATCTAAGGTGACACACCAGTGCAGTGCTGGGAGGGGATGTTGTATTGTTGGAGGTGCCGTCCTTCAGATGAGACAATAAACCTTTTCAGGCAGATGTTAAAAGATCCCATGGCACTATTCAAAAAGAGAAGGGAGTTTCACCCGGTGTTCTGCTAACAATACTTACTACATGGCTCTTAGTGAGAATTGCTGTGTGAAAATTGGCTGCTGTGTTTCACCCTCAAAATACAGATTGCACTTTACAGTATATCCTGTGAAGCGCTTTGAGACGTCTTGACAAAGTGATAAGGTGATATATCAAATGCAAAGTTTATTATTAGCAGTACCAGTATTATTATTATTAAATTGCTACCCAATATCAGAGAAAGGAGCTTTGAAACTTTGATCTGTCTTCTCTCTGCTGTGTGCAGGAATAATCCGAACGGCTGTGGCAAACCTGGACCGGGAGAAACGGGACCATTACGTGTTAGTGATTCAGGCCAAAGACATGGCGGGTCAGATGGGCGGCCTGTCTGGATCCACCACCGTCACCATCACCATCACCGACATCAACGACAACCCTCCGCGGTTCACTCAGAGTAAGTATCTCCGATGACCCGGGCTGGGTAAAGGCACTGCCATGTGATGGGCATCACTGACCGCACAGGAGGTTACTCACTCACATCTGGGGCGAGTTAGGAGATTTCAGCTACAGGCTGTGGGTGGGTAAAGGAGGTAAGAATCAGCCAAGTTTCTCTGAGCCCTATCCAGAAGGTGTGCATGTCACATTAGACCATGGTCTCGCTGTGTGCAAATAACTTGCCAACTCTCACTGTTAACGCATCGCAACAACAGCCTCTCGGGCAATGTATCAGAACAGTGCCCCAGTGAAAGTATTCGAGAGAGAAGGTGAAAAAGTGGGAGAGAAAAGTCAAAGAGGGAATTTATACATCAATAGAGGTAAAAATAAGGGTAAAGATTCAACACAATATTTCACACAGAATTTTTGACAAAGTGGAATTATAATGGGAAACCCCTTGGGGGAGAACCTGAGCAAAGCAAAGGAAATCGTTACAAAGAGCTTAGTGGGTGAAGACACTGGTTATTGATCCACTGGGTGACCAAAAGGATGTAGGTTTGAATTGCGACACATGCTGAGTTAGTTGATCTCCAACAGGAGGTTGGGGGGGAGGGGGGGGCGTGGTGGTTGGAGGAGTAAAGGAGATACAAGCACCAGAGTCTGAGCTACATTGCCCTAAAAATGGTCCTCACCATCCCTAACCTCTGGGTCTCCCTGCCTTAATCCCTCCATCTCTTTCTCTCTCTTTCAGAGCTGTACCAGCTGACCATGCTGGAGTCAGCGGCTGTGGGCTCCACTGTGGGCAGGGTGAGAGCGGAGGACGTGGATCTGGGTCTGAACTCGGAGATGGTCTATGTTCTTAAGGAGGAGGATGGCTCGGACACCTTCAGGGTCATCACAGACACAGAAGCACAAGAAGGCATTATCATTCTCAAAAAGGTAAGGCTGACCTCGCTGGGAGGGTGCATTGTGCCTATTGAGCATTGTGAGGGAGGCTTTCAGTCTGAGCCTGACTGGAAGCAGGGTGTGGTAGGGAGATAAAAGAGAGGAAGAAAAAGGAAAACCAAAAGAAAATGTCTGCCCACCCCCCTCCCATTTTGTTTCTTCACATTATGGGTCCTAAGTGTGATATTCATGGCAGGGAAACACAACATCATCGCTGTATCTCTCACAGAGCCACCCCTCACCACATGCAAAGCCATTGCCCACTGCCAGATAGAACATGGCTTAAAAAAATGCTTCAGCTTGCTGGAATTTGGTTCAGTCACAGGTTAGATTTCCAGAAGACAAGACTCCATCTAATTTCTGGGGAGTTCTGTTCCCAGACATGCCTCTTGCTATCTCCCCGCAATATGGCGTAGCTCTTCCTGGTGGTTTGCTGATCGAAGGCTGAGACCTTTCATTTTCGCTCCGATGTGATAGCGACTGCTGCGATCCTGGACGGTGTCAGAAACTGACCTCTTTCGAAGGCTGCTCTATGCCTGAGCATCAGCGAAGCTAATCCTGGAGGATGCATGCACCTCTTGGGCATAGAAAACAGGAAGAACTAAGATGTGAGCAAGAGGCATCCTAATTACCAGTCACGCCTTTAAGCATTGAGCCCCTTTGATGTCGCCATTGGGAGTTTGGGCCATTACTGTGAAAGCCCAATGGAATGCTATTCTTAGTGTGTTCCTCCGAGCTTCCCCTGACTCATCTACCTGAGCCATACTACGCGAGGTCCTGATGCAGACAAATAATAAGCTCTTGCTCCTGTGAGTTCTGAAAAGTTGCCTCAGCCAGGATAGTACAAAATATTAATATTAATAATAATCATCCTTCCAATTGATACAGCGCCGTATCAAGCCTTTGAGACATCTCAAAGAGCTTCACAGGATAATAAAATAATAATTATAATCCTTGCATAATATCACGTCTTCAAGACATCTCAAAACACTTCATAGAATATGCTGCAAACTGAATTTGACTGTATATTTTGTGGGCAAAACGTGGCAGTCAATTGCACTCAGCAGTGTGCCAAAAACAGTTGTGGATTAATTGAACAAATTATTATATATTATTTATTTATACTGTGAAGTTGTTGACTGTGAATTTTGTGGATGAAAATAACATTTAATCTCAACTTTGGCAGTTTCAGCCACTTGGTTCATTGAAATACAACTCTTTTTAAGCCACGTTCTAGACAGTGGGTGATGGCTCTGCATGGGGTGGGCTGGCTCTGAGAGGGATACAGCGATGATGTTGTGTTTCATTACCGACTGTGCCCCTCACAAAAGAGCAGTTTCATCACAAGGCTGAAGTTAATTAATTAATGTTAATAAACAAACAAACAAATAAATAATCCTTGCATTTGATATAGTTGTGGATCGAGTGAACAATCCAAGTCATTTGAGTGAACAATTTTGAGTGAACAATCCGAGTCGTTATCACGTCGTTTCACACTTCACAGAATATATTGTGCTGGATTGACTCTATATTTTTTGGGGGAGAAACACGGCAGTCAGTGGTGCACAGCAGTTTGAGGGGACTGTCGGCCAGGGCCATCAGGAGAAACTCCCTTCTCTTTTCAACTGCTCTTTCTAATATAAATTAATGATCTGGACTTGGGCATAGAGAACACTATTTCCAAGTTTGCAGATGTTACAAAGTTGGGTAGGGTAGTAAATAGTGAGGAGGACTGTAACCAACTGCAAGCAGACATACACAGAATGGTGGAATGGGCTGACATGTGGCAGATGGATTTCAATGTGGATAAGTGTGAGGTGATACACTTAGATAGGAAAAATGATAGGAGGCAATATAGACTTGGTAGCTCAATCTTAAGGGGGGTGTTCAAGTAAGCGAATCATTAAAGGTAGTGGGGCAGGTAGATAAGGCAGTAAAAAGGGCATTTGGTGTACTGAGCTTTATTAGTAGGGGCATAGAGTATAAGAGTAGGGAGTTTATGGTTAATCTATACAAAACACTGGTTAGGCCTCAGCTGGAGTACTGTGTCCAGTTCTGGGCACCTTACTTCAGGAAGGACATTAAGGCACTGGAAAGGATGCAGAGGAGATTCACGAGAATGATAGCAGGAATGGGGAACCTTAGCTATGAGGACAGGCTGGAGAAGTTAGGACTTTTCCCATTAGAGCAGAGAAGGTTACGCGGGGACCTGATAGAGGTCTTCAAGATCATGAAAGGTTTCGACAGGCGAGATAGGGAAAAGCTGTTTCCGCTGGTAGGTGTGTCTGTGACCCGTGGTCACAGTTTTAAGATATCTACCAAAGGAAGCAGAGGGGAGGTTAGAAGAAATTTTTTCACTCAGCGAGTTGTTCGAATTTGGAATGATCTGCCTGAAAGGGCAGTGAAGTCCGATTCGATAACAGCTTTTAAGAGAGAACTGGACAGGTATCTGGGGAAGACGGGTTTGCAGAGTTATGGGGAGAAAGCTGGTGATTGGGGTTAGTGAAAGTGACTTGCTCTGTCAAAGAGCCGGCACAGACTCGATGGGCCGAATGTCCTCCTTCTGTGCCGTAGCATTCTATGAATCTATAAAACAACAACTTGCATTTATATAGCACCCAATTCCATGGGATCTTTAAAGTCCACCTGTACAGGAAGCAAGGATGTGCCACCTGAGCATGCGCATAAAGTTGGGCTCCATTATAACAAGGTGGACAGGGGCACCGTCAAATGATATCTTGCGATACAATGGGTCATGCTATAGTGCAGCGTGAGGGAGATATGGTTTCACCAGCACAGACACTGTGGGGAAAGAGCAAAGAATGGGATCAGAGGAGAGAGCTCCAGTGGGTGAGCAAATACCAGCACAGACACGAAGGGGAAAGATCACAGGTGGGATTAGAGGAGAGAGCTTCAGTTAGCAGACAGAACAGCTCATACTGATACTGCAGTATAGAAAAGTTGGCACATTTCAGAAAACGTATAACTCTCCTTAAGTGGTTGAAATCAACACGAGAGAGAGCGATTCTCATCTGGTTCAGCGGGGATATCTTGCGGTTGCAGTGAGTGAGTGAGTGAGAGAGTGAGAGAGAGTGTGAGAGTCTCTGTCATTCCCATGTGGAGAGTTGTTGGTAACTCGCAGCTACGGGGGCATAAATAAATCAATGATCTTGGGGCTGAGGAAGGAAGGAGGGAAGCAAAGAGGAAAACAATAAAAGGAAGACGCGAGCTGTGTCACCACGGCTACAGCTGTATACCCTGAAGGCTATTCCCAGTCTCACTGCAGCAATCAGCTCATTAGTCAGGACCATGCTGTAACTGTACATCTTCCCTTCTGACACACTTTGTGTTTGCCAACATCTCCCATCAACTCTTCACTGTATTAAAAGCTGACTGCATAGAGCACATTGCTCCCATTGTCCAGAAAGCCCGAGGCAACAATAAACATGGCAAACAGACCGGCCGCCTGCTGACACTGCTAAATCAGCCAGATTTCAATCCTGACAACAGGAATAACAACAAACAACAACAAAATTGCATTTATACTTTCATATCGGGAGTTCGTCCCAAGGTGCAGGACACTGAGGGGTTTACACCCGAGCTGGGAGTTGGGGTCAGAGAGGGGGTGAGGGCAATGGCGTGGAGGAGGGATGATGATTGAAGGAAATTCTTGAAGGAGGTGGCCGAAGGGGCGACACGGAGGGTCTCCTGCATGGAGTTCCAGAGGGTGGGGGCGGAAAGGCTGAAGGCCTGACCGCCGACAGTGAAGCAGGTAGGGCAGGGGACGGGGAGCAGGCCAGTGCCTGACGAACAGAGGGAGCAGACAACTTGGTGAAGTTTTAATAGGTCACAGAGGTAGGATGGAGCAAGACCATGGAGGGCTTTAAAGCTGAAATACAAACAGAAATCGCTGCTCAAACTGTCCCATGCTCTAGCCAGCCCATACCTGGAATAGTGCCCCCAGTGCAGAGGGGCTACTCAGGCTTGAGAGGCAGGGTCACAAAAGCCACCTTCATTGTGAGTCTGAGGCCAATTCATGGTGAATTTGATCCAATGGCCTGCATCCCAACCTCTACTTTTACTTCCTACAGGCAATACTAGTGAAGCACTTCAAGATGTTTTGAACATTATAGGCGCAGTATCAAAAGTAAGGTTCGATACCCTCCTATTATACCTGATTAGGAGAGACTTCAAGGTGGCATTATGTGTCTGAAACAGTACGTGCCTGATTTCCCAGCCCTAACCTTGACGGTAAAAATGACCATTCCCCCCCACCACCCCCCCCACCCAAATAAACCAGCTTCATTCACTTGTAACCATCTCAGCTGTAAGTTTAACATTACGTGCCTTTGCTTATAACTATATTCACTCACCCACTTTATCTAAAGATAAATGCTCAACTACTTCCTACAGTGTTGTGCAGACATCAGTTGTTGACTAGAACTTGAATTTAATACTTGATTCCTCACAGAAAGAGAGCCCGAATCGCAGATTTAATACTGATTGAAGAGGGTCCCATGATATTGCACTTAAATTTTAAGGCAAAATTGGTCATTCACTCCATGGCTGTCTGTGGCTCATTGCTATGCACAAACTGGCACAAAATACAGTCAATCCATAGTACATCCTGTGGAGAGTTTTGAGACATCCCGAAGATGACGTGAGACGTGATAGGATGCTATATCAAATGCAAGGAGTTTTATTATTAATAATAAAATAGTCTTATAGGCTTAGAGCAGGTGAATGTTTTGCCCTTGTGCTCTCTGTTGCTATAATGTTTGGGAGAAATTCCACCGAATGACTGAGCCGAGTAACTCTGGCAAAGGCTGTATGTCAGTTTCTAGCACGGATGAATATCAATTATCTTCAAAGCCTAAAGTCCTAACATTCAAATAACCCAAATCAGAGCTCTGTCAACCAGGTTAGATGCTCCCCAGAGTGCCAGATCCATCAAGCACATTTGACATACCAGATACCAGGAGCTCAGACAGACAGATACACCGCCATCAGTCCTCCAAGGGGAATGGACAGATGGATGGTTGCAAAGCTGGAGCATCGACTGAGGACAATAGAGAGGGAATCTATTTAAAGCAAAACGATGATGCATCTAATCTATCAAAACTCACCCTTTTCCAGGGACACATGTGCAGCACAAAGTGAAACTGAAGCAAAAGAAGTCAAGCAAACTGCAGGTCAAAATAATAGAAATAACAATTATCCTTGCATGTGATACAACACCTCATCACGTCATCGAGACACCTCAAAGCACTTTACAGGACACCAGGAGAAACTCCCTTCTCTTTTCAAATATCAAGTTCCTTGTCCTCATGTTCAAATGGCTCCATGACTTTGCCCAACTATCTCTGCGACCTGTGACCTGATTTTAACGTCTCACCTGAAGGACAGCACCTCTAAAAATGCAGCACACCTCCAGCATTGTACTGGAGTGTTGAACCGGACTTGAGCCCGGACCTTTCTAACCCTCCCTGCCATCCAATCCCCTATTGCAGTTTGTCGCCCAAAGACGCATGTAGCAGAAATTGCCTAAGCTCCTCTGTTGCTCGATAGTTTTATTGTTAAGCATGGACTGTCCGGTCTCTACAGTAACAGTGGCCCTTTTAGCATTTACTTTCAGATCACCAAGACATCACTTCCAATGTTTTAACTTAGCATTCTTCTCAAAACCCAAAGATAATGCTGTGGTAAAATGAGACAGCCCTGGCGAGTGCAAAACATCAAACCTCTCCTGTTTATTCAAAGCTTACTGGTGGTAATGAAACCTTCAGCAGCAGAGATAGTTAATGCAAAGACAAGGAGAACAGAAACCATCAGTCCTGGATGCTTAAGAAATATCTAAATCAGAGGACACTTTCAAGATAAGACAATTTCCAATTACTTTTCAGTGCAAATGAGGGTCCACTCTGGTTAAGTGTATAAAAGCCTAAATCTGTCCTTAGCCACCCTGTGCCAATCTGTTGGTGTTAGTGCACAGAGACATGTGTTTGAATAGCTGTTGCTAACATTTGCACAAGGATTAATGCTCCACCATGTAATGTTCCTTTGCTTATTTTCATTACACAATTTCAATCTGCAAATAAAAGACTTGGGTAAATCATCACTGACCATTATCGGGTATGAAACGACAGGCTTTTCTTCAGATTAGTCATCCCATTTCATCGATAAATACATTTTCCAGGTGACATATGAAAAGCACTGATGAGATTATGGCAGAGCCTTAGCTATGTACAGGGAGGAAGAAGCCGGGCTGATTCTTTTAAGAATTGGAGCAAACGTCACCCAAAGAGCCAATTCCTATTATTGATACTGTCCTTATACACGCATTGACCCAACCTTTCTCTGGACAAACTGAACCTTCCCTCTCCACATCACATTGGAAAGCGCTTCACAGGATTTACTATGAACTGAAGTGACTGTGGCAAATGTGGCTGCACAATTGCTCACAGCAATGTCCTACAAACAATCATAAAACAAATGACCAATTTTATTTGGGGGATTGGTGGCCAGAACACCGAGAGAGAGAAACTCCTTTCTTTTTTTGAATACTGTAGTACCATAGGACCTTTAACATCCACCTGAACAGGCAGACGGGACATTGGCTTAACATCTCATCTGAATGCCAAATCCAAACGTGATGACTATCACTTCATCATCTAGAATAACGAGCAGTTCTGGACTAGGTTACAGTATTAAATATATTCCCGTTGTCGCCTGCACTTGCCAAACACTCATTGTTCTCTGCCCACGTCGCCCCGACCTCTCAGTTTCACTCTGTGTGCAGCTGCTCCATACTCTTCAATTTCATGTGACAGCACTGACATTTCCAGCCAATGTAGTGGCACAAATATGCCTGTCGCTGAGACCAAACACACACAAAATCAGTCACTGGAAAGAGTCTGACTCAAAATAATGGCACTGAAAGGCTTCAGTTGTTTGATCTGTTGAGTAAAAGAAGTAAAGACATCTTGGAATTAAACAGAACATCCAAGTGAAAATGTTACCTGAGCAGCAATCCAGTCACTGCATGAAATGGTACTGTAACTCACTGTGCTGTGCATTTTTCAAAATCCTTTAAAAGTTTGCTCTTTAACTCTGGGCGTTAAAATGCAGTAAATGTGGTAATTAGCACTGGTAATTATCTCGGGCTTTAATAATATCCAACAGCAAGTGTGTGTAGTTCAGTATGCTCCAGAAACCACTCCCCAATATCAATAGGACTGACTGGCATTTTGATCTGTATTCAGATCTACACCCAATTTCATGAAATAATTACAATATATAATAATAATGTTTGTATTTGACATAGCACCTTATTACATAATTGAGACATCTCAAAGGACTTCACAGAATATACCATAAAGTGTTTTTGTGGGTGAAATGTAGCAGCCCATTACACACAGCAATGTTCCACAAACAGTCATGGATCGAACGACCATCACATCCAGGTTATTACTTACTGCTTGGTAAACAGAGGCATGTGGAGTAAGGAAACTTACATGTGGTTTCGCCCCACCAGGGAATCGAATTCAGGTCCTCTTGCTTGCAAGGCAAATGCACTAACCACTACACTATGGGACTCCACACACTCCAATAAAATTATTTCAAATAACCATCTGATTGAACAAAGGATCAGCAGGTTATGGGTGTGAATCCCAGTTAGCTCTTAATGAGCACAGGCACTAACTTAGCTGAATGGCCTCCATCTGTGCTTGTAAATCTCTGCCGTTCTGAGGGTCTAAGCAGGTGCTGTTGTTCTTTCAGCCACTGGACTTTGAGAGCAAGAGGACTCATAGCCTGCTGCTAGAAGCAGTAAACAAGCACATGGCTCCTCAGTTCGAGAACGTCAGCTCGTTCAAGGACTGGACCAGCGTCAGGGTCATGGTGAAGGATGTCGACGAGCCACCCGTCTTTACCTCGCGGACAAACGTGATCGAGGTGCAAGAGGACGCCCGCGTTGGGAGCAGCATTGGCGCTATAACAGCGCGGGACCCTGACCTCAAGCACAGCCCCATCAGGTAAGAGAACATGAATAATAATAATCCTTGCATTTGATATAGCACTGTATCACGTCGTCGAGACGTCTCAAAGCCCTTTACAGAATATGTAACAGACTGTATATTTTGTAGGCTAAACACGGCAGCCAATTGCACACAGCAGTGTCCCACAAACAGTCAACAGTGGATTGAGTGACCAAATGTTATTTTATTTATTATTGCAATTTCCCTTTCGTCCTTTTTTTGTAAAAAGCAGCCACCTGGTCAATTCGGGCTTGAGGGCTTGCTTGAAATCTGACGGTGATAATTATTCTATCGTAGTTACTCATTACAGTCACTGACACCAGCTCTGCTGGGATGTGTTCTGTAGAATGAGAGCGTGGCCACACAGCAGACATGTTAGCCTCTGATAGTACGTTACTCATTTACCTTACCCACTGCCAACCTAGTCATCGGCAGCAGAGGTGGCCAACATTTTGTTTTCAGGTCACTGCCCGGCTCAGTCTTCCACAATGCAGTTTTCCCATCTCCAACAGCCATCAGCTTAAGCCTAAAGCAACGCTATCAGATGCCCAAGCAGCAGGGCAAGCAGATATAGGTTCTCGGTTGTGAGAGGCCAATTTCAGGGTGGAAACCAGGAATTATTTCTACACACAGAAGAAAAATCAGCTGATCAGTAGGCTGGTTGAGGCCAGAACGCTAAGCTCATATCAGAAACAGCTTAAGGTAAGTGTAAGGAATTAACAGTAAAATAAAATTTATAAAAAATACAGCGCCTTTAACTTTTGCATTTGATACAGTGCCTTTAATGCTGGAAGGACGTCTCAAAGCGCTTCACAGAAATGACTGCAAAATGCAGGCAGTGCCTATGTATATTGTCATTGAATTCTTGGAGGATAAGATGAAATGAGCTGTCTTATGATAGTCTCTGCAATCCTGCCATGCTGACCCAAAGGTCCAGTTTAATACCGTTCAAATTAGGTTTGGAATAATTGTTCCTTCAAGGTAGGCACACTGGCACAGATGCTGAGCAAAATTCTGCCTTTTTTTGAGCAAATTGGTTAACAACTCCTCCTGCACGGCCTTTTATTAAGATTTACTTTGATTTAAATTGAAATGTTACTCCAGTAAATACAGGTACTTGATTAACAGTCACTTGCAGTAAGTGTTAACATATTAGATGCAAAATTTATTCAAGCGTATATTCCAATCACAGTGTGTACCTCTGCAGTCAAAGTGATGTACTTTCTTGGTTTTGACGTGGTTTTCAGCAGACTCAGCTCACGCTGTCCCTATGTGTTTGTCCGCCTCCTACACTACGAGATGGGCAAATGTGACACATTTGCATACTGCTGCACTCTCCGTCATAAGTGTCAGCCTGGTGCATTGGTAGCGCTCTCGCCTCTGAGTCAGGAGGTTGTGGGTTTAAGCCCCACATAGTCTAGGATGACTCTCCAATACTGTACCAGGGAAGAGCTACATTGTCAGAGTAACCGTCAAAGTGCTTAACAGTGGTGGAAGCTCGATTCCAAGCCGGGGGGGGGGGGACGTGAAGTGACTATAGGCACGGACAAAGAGAAAGGTCTTCCGGGTGTGATCTAAAGACGAGGAAGGAAAGGGCCAAGGGGGAGGGATTGCGGGTTAAATAGTTAAATGGTGGTCTAGTGGCTGAAAGGATGGCCATCCATGGTGGAATGGAGGAGACTAGGGATGTGTACAGGAGGCCAGAGCCAGCAGGTAGCTAAGGCCTTTTCCAGTGCTGTACATCCATGAGTCCCAACAGAAGTCGGTGAAAACCTAGCAATTGACTTACGTTTTGGTTTAAACTCTTCTAAATGAAGGGATGTGATCACAGTTGATTGTGTTTGGGTGGGAGAGGTGGGGGGGAGGGGAGATATGCCACCGATGTATTCTCAGTGTCACTCAGCGTTCAATGGTGATCTTTCAGGTATTCCATCGACCGCAACACTGATCTGGAGAGAATATTTGATGTGGACGCCAACAGTGGAGCCATCACTGTGGCCAAGCGGCTGGACCGGGAGACGGCGGGCTGGCACAATATCACCATGGTGGCAATGGAGGCAGGTACGTGTATCCCGAAGGGTGAAGCCCTTCCGGACACATCTGAAGTCATTTCACCCGGCAGAAAGACAACGGAAAGAATCTCTCTGGTAAAGTAGGGGTTACCTTGCTGGATCTTAAAAACTTTTTGTACTGTGGAATAAATGAGGATGAAAGATTCAGGTGAGGTTATTAAAAGAGAAAGAGTCAGTGACTATTGGCAGAGCACACAGAGCGTGGTGACTTTGAACGTAGGAAAACATTTAACTTCACAGGGATCAGAGACAAAAGGTGGAGACAGAAGGAAAGCAAAGATCAGCCACTGGAAGATGAAGGATTTAGCATTGGATAACTTAATGCAAGGGATCGGTCCTTGCTCATGCATGAGATGAGTTTGTGGGTGGAGACGGTTTGGGTCACAGACACAGGCTGATCAATTCACATTCCCAGTGGGAGGCAAGGCCTGGGAATTGATCCAGCTTCAACCTCAAACCAATCTGGCCACAAACACCCTTAATCCCAATTCTTGTTAGGAATCACCATGCTCTCCGTCAAGCTCGGGTGTGCAGCTTATCTGGTAACTTTGTAGTTTCAACGCTGATGTTGTACAATGAAAGTGCAGTGCGAAACGATGATGTTTCTAACAGCTCTGTCCCAAGGTGACCCCTTAGCCAGGTAAATAGAGCCAGTTGTGGCCTAGGCTTGACGCTTCCGCTCAGTAATTTGGTACTCAGATGTTCGATGATGTGGTATTGAGACACTTGATGTTGTGGTGTTGAGACACTCGGTATTGTGGGGCCGGACAGATCAGGTAAAAGACAGGAGCGCATTGCCATAAGTTAAGTTATTGTTAAGCCTCTGGAACGCTGCTTCACGCTCCGTATTGCTGAGGCTAAGTCTGTTTATGTTGCTCCTGCGTGAGCAAGAGCAGAGGTCGGCTATGTGAGAACGTGCTCTGGTTTAGCAGGAGGTTGACTTACAGTGCACCCAACTCCGGAGATGATTCGCCGGCTTCCTGCCTTCCGGTCATGAGGCTGCGGGTGACATCATGTCCTGCGTATAACATTCTGATGTCACTTCCCGTGTACTACACGTAGAAGCCACTTTGACAAAGTTCTTTATTGGAAATTTTGCGTGAACCTTGTCAGCCTGTATTCAGTATTTGCTTTTGAGCGTTGTAACTGTACAATCCTTTTCAAATCCGACTGGAGTCACAGGTGAAGGACAACTAACATACATATCCCCACCATCTCTCTCTCTCTCGCTCTGTAAAACTGCTAACTAGAAACATAGAGTAAAGAATCTATGATGATTCCAAGGTTTTGTAGATATATGTAGGAGTTTCGCCCAGTATCCAAGCCAACAATCCTCAGATAAAAGGCTGTTTGTGTACAAATTAGTTGCCTACAAAATACACAGTCATTGTACTTTGAGACATCCCCTGATGTTAAAGGCCAGGATTATTATTCGTAGTATTATTATATATTTATAATGTAACACTCCCTGTGAAAAGGGAACATAGGGAAAAAATCTACAGCAGGCTTGTTGAATATGGGTTGAATTGTCTGAGACAGCTGCTGATACAGAGAAAACATTTAATAGGGAATTAGGTAAGTCCATGCAGAGGAATATTATGAGGGGACACAGCCTTCGGTTTTCATCAAAAAAAACTTCCATTAATCTGAAGCCCCCCGAACTCCACAGGTTTCTGCCTGTTTGATTCAATGGAACAGATCTCAGGATCTATGCATAAAATAATCCTCTGGCTTCCCATTACCCAGAAAAAAAATTCTCAGACAGAAATAATAAGCACTGGGGAAAGAAGAAAAGTTTAAATTTCCAACACAAAACTAATGAGCTCAGCAGGAAGTAATTATTATCCTCCAGTGTCTATTTCTCTTTACTTGGTTTAGAGCTGCAATTAAATCCCAGGCAGTCGCTCTCTTATTCAATACCTTTTCTGCTTCGTTGGGTGTCATTAGTCATAAAAACGAGGCGATAATGAAGTCTACTCTTCTAAATTGGTTGCAAGAGGAATCTCAAATTAGAAGGGAGTTCAAATATAATCATGAAGGAAAATACAGCTATTGCCTACCCACTCCCTTCTTCTCCTCCCACCCCACACCCAGCCTGTGGATTTGGTTAAGTTATGCTTGCTCACCTTTGAGAGAATTTTCACTGGAAAACCTTGTGTACTATTCTGGTGAAAAGTAAGGCGACTACGACGGGCAATTTGCTGAAGTTCCATCTGCTTGGCCCCCATAATAACTCTAACTGTAAAGTCAACTAGTGCTAACTTACTAATAACCCTTACATTTGATACAGTGCCTTACCGCGTTGTTGCGATGTCTCAAACAGTTTCACATAACATATTGTAAAGTGAATCGATTGTGCAATTGTGGGTGAAACATGGCAGTCAATTGTGCAGCAGCAGTACTTCGCAAACAGTCATGGATTGAGTGACCAATTTTTTTTTTTTGAGGGCTTATTACCCCCGGAAAATGATCCGCCAATCAACTGACAACCGGGCTCCTGCTCACTGCTTGGTAAATTGTGTGGAGTAAGGAAATTTGCCTAAGGTTTTGCCCCGTCCGGGAATCGAATCCGGATCCTCTCACTTGTGAGGTGAGTGCTCTAACCACTAAGCTCCAGGACTCCATGATAATCATAATCCTTGCATTTGATATAGCACTTTTCACGTCGGGAGGACGTCCCAAAGCGCTTCACAGAACACACTGTAAAGTGAATTGACTGTATTTTTTGTGGGCGAACGCGGCAGCCAATTGCGCACAGCAATGTCCCACAAACAGTCGTGGATTGAAAATGACCAATTTATTATTGTTTTTGGAGGGATTATTATTAGGCTCTGTGTGGAGTAAGGAAACTTGCCCAAGGTTTCGCCCTCTGCCTGGAATTGAACTCAGGTCTCTCGCTTGCAAAGCGAGTGCTCTAACCACTGAGCTACAGGACTCCACACCTCAGAGATGGCAGTGGGCGCCTCAAAGCCAATTACAAGACAGTAGCCTACGTCTGGCGGCTGACCCATAAAATTGGATTACGGCCACCGAGAGGCATCCAGAGTTATTTATAATATTGAGCGCTGAGGGGATTCTCCTTGCAGAGTGGGCTTATTTGCACTAAGATGCAAGCGGAGTGTGGCTCTGATTGATGCCGGACCCCACAAGCTCAGAATTCCGAGCAGTGGTTGTGCAGTTATTTTGGGCGATGAATTGCAAAAAGCAGCCTTATTAACAATTCAGACATCAGAACTTTCTCTCTCTCTCTCTCTCTCTCTCTCACGCAGTTTTAATTACTCCAGAATATTTTGTTATATTGCAAATGGTTTAACCTTCAGACTGTCGGCAGATCCAGGGAAGCTTCGGTCTGCCTGGACTGTCCGGTTTTGTGTGTTTCATCTCTTAGACATACACACACATACGCTCATACACGCACAATGAAGCACATAATGGTTGACTGTGTTAAACTTACCAAGACATCAGGAGTAGTTCCACAATTAGCCCTGCTAAATACTATATAATTTTAGTTAAACTTAAAAAAGTTCAAAATGGTTCACTCACTTCATGGCTGTTTGTAGAACATTGCTGTGCACAAATTTGCCTTCAAAACACACAGTCACTACAATTGACAGTAAAATCCTGTGACATGTTTTGAAATGTCTCGTCAATGTGATAAGGTGCTATATCAAACTATAAGGATTATGTTTATCATTATAGCTCTCCTCTTTCACCTTCTCTCCATGGCCTTGCTCCCCCCATCGCTGCAGTCTCCTAACCCCCTTCCATCCTGACCGCTCCCCCCGCTCAGCGGGCTCCGGCCTGCTTCACGTAACCCCACCTCGCCCGCCCCAACATTAGTGGGCAGGCCTTCTGCCCCCACCCTTTGGAACTCCATCCCGCAGTCCCTCCGCCTCGTCCCCTCCCTTGCCTCCTTCAAGACCCATCTCAAGATCCTCCTCTTCAACCGTGCTTTCAATCACGCTGCTTCCCCCACTGCCCTCCACCCTCCCGGATCCTGACCCCCATCTCGGGTCTGAAACACTGACTGTCCAACGCATTGGGAAGTCCTCCAGACGTGAAAGACACTATACAAATGTAACTTTGTTGTTGTTCTTGTGCTGTTCTCGCTCTCCGTTTCATTTTACCATCATAACAGAGATTTGCAGCTAAAAACAAATTTAAGTGTATTTGTCAAAAAAATGAACACTGTAGATGATGTAAAATGATGCTTGATTGCTTTGAACCATTCTAGGTCTCGTATTAATATCTCAACAGCAGCAGAGGTCTGCCAATCTTGGTAACCACTATGATGGAGCTCTTGGTGATTCAGAGCAAGTGTTGTATAAGTGACGGAATCTCTGCTCAATCATTCTGCCCTGTCTCAGCCTGTGAGACCAAAATGTCTTGAATTCAGTTTTTCTTTTTAAGAACTCTGGGAAAACAGCTTTCAAATTAAGCGAAATGTAAGAATTTTTAACAATTCTGACTTTTGTCTTTCAAAAGGAAATTAAATAGAATTATTTTAGGAAATAATATCATGATACAGCATGAGGTTTGGGACATGACATGTGCATGCGACTGCCAGGAGGGTGGAAGGCGAACCAGATGGATCTTGGTCTTCTTTCGTCTAGCAAATTCTTATGTTCTTATGTAGCTCGAAGTTTGACCTGTGGGAACGCCCCACTGTTGTCGTAACCTCAGAACATCACAGCAGGAAGCAACTCAAACCTTCTAGCTTCTTGGCTACTTTAATAGATCATGGCATGTGTTTTAGTCTCCTTTTCTCTGCCTTTTCTCCACATTCTTTAACACTCTCACATCCCCACAAAATACACTTTTTCTTTGCTCATGAAAGACAGTCAATTCACTTCACAGTATATTCTGTGAAGTGGTTTGAAACTCCTCAACAATGTAAATAAGGCACTGTATCAAATGCAAAATTATTCTTATTCCCCAGTCCCTACTGTTCCCACAGCAGACAAGAAATGCACTGACTCGGGATGAAAT